CAAGTCATTAAAAAGGCCTTTAATGTATTTTTACCAGGATGATTTCTTGTGTTTTGCAGATAGCTCAGGTGAGGACACTGAACCCAAAGATCTGTACCTTATTCCAAGAACAATCATGGCTGAACCTGACTACATAGAAGAAGACAATCCTGAATTAATTAGACCTCAGAAGTTAATCAATCCTGTGAAATCATCCCGGAACCATCAGGACCTGCACAGAGAGCTGCTCATGAACCAGAAAAGGTAAAAAGTGAATAAATTACCTCGTGTGTGTGGCAGCTGAACTTGTGGTTCTCAGCCAAAACCTCATGTTGCCCAAAACGCTAATAGACCTTTTGTGATATTTAAAATCCCAGTATGTATAGCTGGGTTGGATGCAGTTGATCTGTTTTTTTTGTTTTTGACAGCTGCATCTGGTGCTGCAGTATCTAACCCTTTTGTTTCTTATTTCGGAAAAACCTGAATTATTACCATTTATAGACATATTGCAATACCACATATAGGCCTCATGCAGGTTGGACTCTGTTATGACTGTTGTTGTAAAAAAAACATAGTCAGCGATAGCTCCTTTTCCCAAAAGCATTTTAGATGATCTTTTAAAATCTGAACTGAATGTATGTAAATGGATGCAGTCTGCAAACCACTGAGGACAATCACTGCCACATTTATCTCAGTGGGATGTTGAGTCTGGAGCCTACCTTCAGTTCTTCAACAGCTGTCTCATAGCTAATCAAAGAACGCAGGAAAAAACAATGCTGAGCATACTGTGAAACTACAAAAATCTGATGGACCAGGGCATTTCTGCAGGACTAGGCAAAGCTTAGGTTAGGTCTCTTTTTAAAGAAGAAATTCTTCATTTTTTCCTCACTCACCAGCATATAACATATGTTGGGAGAGGGGTGTATCTGATAGATATAGATATACATGTCAATTATATACACATACACACACCCTGCCCAGGATCTATCTGGGATTAGATAGATGAATCAAACACTGTCAAAACAAAATGCTTTTTTTTTTGCCCTGCCCCAGCCTGACCCTAGATTGCAGGGACACCTTTAAATCAAAAATGTCACAAGAGGAAGTTTCTTATTAGTCTTCTTTATAGGGTAGTTTAGTATATATTTGACATTGGGTTATTTTGATGCCTGTACATTTCTATACATTGTACAAGCTTCATTCTGGGACCTGAGAGACATCCCAGTACTTTATGTACCATTTGAAGAGCTGTGATAGAACTTAATACTATAGATTTCAGTGGGCTCAGGACTTGATCAACAGTAGCCATATTAGTTGTATGAATTGTCACCTTAAAAATGTTAGTAAATTGAACCCTGACACTATTACCTTTTAGTGTAGGGTATAACATTGCTTTCTTGTGTTGAGAGACTTTCTTAGCCTATCCAAGTAAGATTTAATTTGCATTTCCAACCTAAAAGTGGCTTCTTTTTTAATATATTAGCAAGATCCATGATTTAAGTTCCATCACTTGGGTCTCACACATTTCTTACTGACTAGCTTTGGCCTTGAATAAGCCATTTAACTTCAGGTTTTGCGTCTTCTAAATAGAAATGATGAGTTAGATGCTGACCAGTGTCTTGAAGTTGCAGGAAAGTAGGTGTAGGATTGATATCAGGAAAAACTTCTTCACTGTTAGAAGTGCAGCAGCAGCATAGATACCTAGGAAGTTTTAACATCTTCAGTGATGGAGAAGCTACAAGAGAGGTTGGACAGCCACTGGTCAGGGATGATCTAGTCATAGCCATGCATATGTCCTACTATGGGTATTTCCCAGGCATCTGTGTTTTGCTGGTTTCCCATGCCCCCCTTTTCTGCTGTGTCAGGGTGTTTTTAAGCCTTCCTCAGAGGAATTGGATGTTGGCTATAGCCAAAGCCAGGGATTTTGACTTGGGTGTGCCAATGCTCCTCCTGAGATCAAAGCTGGAGGTTCCTGGCTGGAGGGTCTTGCCTTTCCACTCAGATTCAGACCGATTGCTATTTTTGGGGTCAGGAAAGAATTTTACCGCATGGTGCTTTGATTGGTACAGACTGTGGGGGTTTCTGTCTTCTGTAGCAGAGACGTAGCACCTGGGGTCCCTTGAGAGTATATTAACACCCTTTTTATTGAAGCAGAACGTTGGCTGCTGTGGTTCCCCTGCTTTACTCGTGGCAGGTTAGGTTGTTATCTTGTGCTGGATCGGGGTTGATGGCAGTTTTTGAGTTTAGAGTATGGTATTTATGGGATGGTTTGGATAGGGATGATCCTGCTTCAGGCAAGGCGTTGGACTAGAAGACCTTCCAGCCCTACTTCTCTATGGTTTCTGTGGTTACTTGCTTCACAAGTGCACTGTGGGTTTGAGCATTTACAAGACAAGGGAGATCCTTCCAGTATATAAATATAGACCTGATTTTGAAACGGATGGTCATATGAGTCATGTTGTGACTTTCGGTAGGGCTAGTCGGGTGAATAAGAGTTGCATGCTCCAATAAATGTTTGTGGAATGTGGACCTGACTCCATGGGAGAGTTGAAAGGATTGCTTTGTATCTGTATGAGATGTGCGCTTTCATCAATTCGTGAAGGTGAAGATGGTTAAGATTATGACTGAACCATCCTTTTTTTATTTTCTTTTTGCTTCAGTGAAGTTCCTGGCTATATAGACTGCAAAGCAACTGGACTGGATGCAAGTTGATCATTTTAAATGATGGGACTACTCTGGTACCATCGCTTGTAGCCTGAAGTCAATCACTGTGGCTGCCTTAGACTTTTAATGTTCTGCTACTTCAGATTATTTTGTGCATCACAGCCAGGTTCTGGGTCAAAAATCTTCTTTATCCGAAGAATTTTTTTAAGTGTTATCTAGGCTTTGGAGGAAAGCCATAAACACTAAAATCATGAGACTGCCTTCAGCTTTTGACTGCCTTCTCCTTATTTGGGTTTGTAATGAGTAAATAACCTGATTGGCTTTGGCTGGAAGACAGAATTTTTCTAAAATTAGGAAGTTATCCTCAAAATCAGGGAAGACAGATACTAAAGTTTGGTGGTTTTTAAGTATCTGAAAATCTATAGATATAGAATTTTAAAATTGGATAATGCAACTAATTTCCTATTTTGAAGAGGTTTTTATTTGTAGAGCGCAGCTATTCAAACCCGTGTATCTGGGCATGAAGGTAACCTCAGGCGTCTTACAGCAGAGCATATCGGGTTTTCCAGTACATCAAATTGATTGATTTAATTATTTTCCAAATGCTCAACACTTTTTCAGCATCTTCCAGGGTATTTCTTAATTAATTTAGAGTTACAATACCCCTGAAGTTTGTCCAGTATAGACTTTTAAAATGTACTGTATTTGGATTTCCTTTTAACAGTTATACATGTATATCACAGACTGGCCTTTTCATAGCAAAAAGAGCACAGTGAGCAGTATTACATAAGCTTTTAATGAAAATGTTTATTCGCCTGTCAGGATCCAGACATTTTAATGAGTGCTAGTTGGAATCTTTTTCCTTCCATGCGAATGGAAGATTTGAAACTCCATATTCATTCATTGCAAAGAGCTGGAAAGAGACAACAAAATAGAGGGACCTGTTCTGGGAAGAAGACTGGATTGTATTGTCTTTGCTCCTTTCTCTTCTTCCCTGGACTTCTTATTTGCATCTTTCTCCCCTCCGCCATCTATCTTATCCTCCCTGAGCCTTTTAGATAGTCTAAAAAAAGTAAAATAAATGTTCTACCAATGCACAACATAGTTGGCAGTGATCACCATAGTAACGGAGTTTGTAGTAATGTCTCCTCACCCTGCAGAATGGTTGCAACGGTGCCAGCTCTACAATGATTTCCTCAAATGTTATTTCTGAGGTAAGAGGAAAAAACAAAGAGAATTAAAGCGGGGAATAATAGTCCAGAATTAATTAGTGGTTAAAATGTATGATCAGCAGCCCAGCAGGCTTCATTAGACTGATTGAGAAACTTCCCTATAGAGAGATACAGGAGAGACAGCATCATGGCATTTTCAGACTAACCGGGTTTCTGTATCGGAGTCTTCGTGCCCAACCCTGCAGGTTCCTCCACTTTGTCTCTGGGGCTGTAGGATTTGGGGTCAGGGGCCGGGGATAGAGGTGGAAGGAAAAGGGTCTGTCTGCATTTCTAATAGTGAAATCCCCACAAATGCTAGCTTTAGATACGTAACTCTGAATGAATCATTTATGTGGTATACTTCTCCAGTGGCAATGAAATGGACACATTACACTGACTGCCAAGTAGATCAGAAAAAGTTCACACTTTCAGGGGTTGCGTGTGTGTGTGTGTGTGTGTGTGTGTGTGTGTGTGTGTGTGTGTGTGTGTGTGTGTGTGTGTGTG